AGATCAGACAGTTCTTATTTATCTCCATGATGCATCAAAATCCCACTCCTTTTAACCACATGATCCTGATCAAGTGATTATTGAATCACCACCCATGTTAATATGGTGGGAGATACTATACAAGATTCCTCCAAATTTAAGTTATAGCACCGATTGTATATGGGCACGTGGCAACTCGAACTGTCTCTTGTGAGTTTTTAACATCACTACCTTTGCTTTATCAGCCCATGCATAAGCTTTTTCTAAGATCTCCCAAACTTGTTTTGCCGAATCACAATCGCCAACTTTTTCAAAGTTGTCACCATCGATACAAGAATGAATCAAGAAGAGTGTCTTGTAATCTTTCTTCTTTTCTTCCTTGAATGCAACCTTCTGAACATCTGTAGCTTCTGTCTCAAATGAAGTAACTCCATTCTTGATCACCTCAAGAATGTCTTGATACCCAAACAAAACCTTCATTTATTTGGACCACTTGTCATAATTCTTCAAATCAAAAATCGGTAGGTTGGTAGAGACACTACCATTGGAAACATTATTCATCTTTGTAGTGGATTATAGATCAGAACCAAGGCTTTTGATGACAAATGTTGGAACATACACAAGTTCTAATGGTAAATATCAATGGAGAATTTGTGATAATTGGAGAGAGAGAGAGAGAGAGAGAGAGAGAGAGAGAGAGAGAGAGAGATAGAGAGAGAGAGAGAGAGAGAGAGAGAGAGAGAGAGAGAGAGAGAGAGAGAGAGAGAGAGAGAGAGAGAGAGAGAGAGAGAGAGAGAGAGAGAGAGAGAGAGAGAGAGAGAGATATTACAACATATGAGGGTATTTATACATGACAAAACAAAACAAATTGAAACAAAAAAAAAGTTGAAAAACCCAAACATGAGTTCGTAACTGGTTACGCAAAATGCTGTAACAGGTTACGCCAGCAAAATAACAGAAAAACGCAATAGACTGTAACCGGTTACAGCATCCCGCGTAACCGGTTACCAACTCGAAAACTACTTATTTTGCTCTCCAAAAATACTTATTTTTTAAATTGTAACCTCCAATTAACTCCCTAAAACCTATATTGTATGCATTTGAATTATTATAAACTCCCTTCTATATTTTAGATTTTGTTATTCTTTCATTTGGTTATAGAAGAATTTAAAATGAATACTGATACAAAGTTATAATGACACAAATTCCCTTATAGTTTTTTTTGTTTAGATAAAATTCAATTTTCATTAAACTTCTCATTGCAATATAATACCGAATGCAGTAACATTTTCAATTGCATTCTAATGATAAATAACTCATTACTAGAAAACAAACAGCATGAAGAAAAACATCTCTTATATTTTGCATTCCTACAATAAATTCATATGTTAAACAGATGTGGCACAAATATTCTTGTGGTGTTCTGAAAATTTTCAGCAACTTTTGATATCAGAAAATTCTATCTTGCAAAAGCTAGAACACGTTGGTGATGAGAGTATCCGCTCCTTAACGCTTTCCAAATCAATATCTGCATATCGCAGCCAAAATGCTGGAGAGATGGTCATAATCTGCAACGTTGCTGCATTTGCTAACATGAAGTTCACCAGAGAAAGATCATGCTCGTTTGCATTAAAACCTTTAAACCGAAATACATTGAGGCTTGACAGAAAGCAGTGAGGCACCACTGCAGAAGTGAAGACATCTTTATGCAAGTCAGCTACTCCCTGAAATTTGAGTATCTTGTAATAAAGACTCTATTTGGATAAACAAGAGTTTTGAATTTGTTTGAACAAAAGGCAAGAGTAACTAAACTTACATTCAGCAAAACAAGAGTATTAAGAATTGGCGAATTGTTGAGTAATTGCAACAAAGCTTCACCATTTACTTCATTTAGTTCCAGATATCCCAACCTTCCAAACACAGGCAGATTGGTGAAAACATCTTTAGCATGTCTTAAAATTAAAACCTGTAGGACAAGGAAAATTTTGTTCAAATTCTAAAAGACTATAGCCATTCATGCATATGATGTATCCTAAAAGATAAGCATACCTTGTAAAACAGTAATTTCAGTTGTTCTGCGTTATGGATTTGTCTGAGAAGATTCCATGCTTGAAACCCTAGTTTTTGCATTCTGTCCTCCTTGTCTTCATCCACAACAATCACAATAGAAGCATTACGAATTGACGAAGAATCACATAGAACAATATCCTGTTCAAGATCACCCTCATAAGAGAAATCTGTTAGACGTCGACTATAAACTTTGATAGCATACTCACATGATTCATTTGAATGACGGTTCCATATAGCAATTGAAAACCTCTCAAGTAAAGGTACTTGTAAACTAATGTTCTGCATAGTTAACCATTCACACCCTCTAGCTTCAAACACTTTAAGAACCGGGAAGTTAAGAGTTATATCTTTTGAACAATCGGAAGAATCACTCAATAATTTGATCCCAGAAATGCTAAGTTTTTGAAGATTTGGGAGAGAAGCAGATATGGGAAGAGTAAGAGTAGATTTCATTTGAAGCACCAATTCTACTAAAGAATTGCAAGTAAAGAGTAAATTTGAAGAAAGGAAAACTTTATCAGCATACTGAATATGAAGCTTCTGAACTCTCCTTTCTAAGATAAATGAAATCCATGAAGTTATCAGAGATGCATCATATTGATAACTAGTTAAGCAAAGAGAGAAACTTTGGATGCTTGAATTAGTAAATTGAAAAAGCACTTTTCCGACAAAATTCACAAACTGTTGTTTTGGCATCTTTTTCTCATAATGAAGCAAACTATCATCAAACTTTAGGCTTGTTATGGATGTCCAAACTCCAATCCATCTTTTTGATAAGACGCTAGTGCGAACCGCGTCTGTGATTGGAATGAAAGATAGAATGGGACCAAGAATGTTTTCATGTAATGTGCTAATGATGTCAATTTCTTCAACTGCTGCTGGAAGGTGTTTAGTTTGAATCTCCATATTCACTACATTTGAATCCATAACTACCTATAAAAACAACTGTTACATATTATTGCATTTTTTAATCCGCGCGAAAAAACCTTTCACCTGTTGTAATTTTTCAAAAGGAGAGAAGAGAAGAAAATCTTAGAAAGAATCTACATTAATTAAAACTTACAAGCATGTATGAGTCTCACCTGAACAATGATTACGGCAGTTATGGAGACAGATAGATCTAGATATAGAAAAGTAAATCTAAGAGTCCCATACTCCCATAACTAATGTGGTAGATCCTAACAAATTTGCAACTAACTTGAACAACCTCCTACTTCACAAACTAGGTTTTGAGATTAATCTAAGTAATAAAATTGTATCAAAGTTATGCCTTAAGATTTCTGATCTGATGTTCAATTTTGTATCATGAATGTAGTTAAAAATGAGTGCATAATGCTAAGAATTGAATAATAAGAATAAAAGTAAACCTTAAGAATGTGATTTGAAGAAGTGTATGCAGCAAGATGAACGAGGAGTTATTGAATAAAAGTTAGATAGAACTTCACAAGGTTTCTTGGACACAGAAACTTGAAAGAGAGTTTTTGAGTTCGGTTTTCGAGATATGAAATGTTATCTATTAAGGTAATAAAAACTTATACCAAGAAAAGTAGTTGTAATGTTCGTAATAACAAATTACTATAAACTATATGCACCGTGCTTTGCGCCATTGACTAAATAATACTATTATTTTTTTTAAAATTATTTATTTTTATTTTAAAATTAATGACTCTCTTATTTTATCTTATCTGATTTACGAAATTTATCATTCTATTTTATTTTTGCACTTACAATCAAGATGTTTCTATTTTTTAACTGACAATTTTTTTATGAAATTTAATAAATCATTATATATAAATCTATTGCGAGACTTCATAAAAAAATATTAATTAAAAAACAAATATTTTATTGATTTTTTATGAAAAATTATGAAAGAAAATCAAAATTATTTAAATTTAAAATAAAAAATTAATTTCGCGAATCAAATAAAATTAAAATACTAAAACTATAATTTAATTTTTTCCCCTACAAATATAATGATAATACTAGTTAAAAATCCGCGCTAAACATGTCAGTTAAGACGTTAATAATAGCGTACAATTTAATAATATCAAATCTAAGTTCAAATTTGATAATAAAGCTTTAAATTAGAAAGAACTTCAATTTGTTTTGATAAGTTTTCCAATGTCCAATTATGCTCTTATTATTAATTTAAAATTTATTTATGAAATATATTAGCAACCAGTCATATTAATATAACGTGTAGGGAGAGCCACGACACAAGGAGTATGGTGACAATTATTGAACTGCATGGATTAGTTAGGTATATCATGTTAAATACGACGATTGTTGAATTATTGTTACATGTATGTAATTTCCGTTTGGGTATTCTATACATGATTTTTTTTAAGCAAGGGTGAATTTAAGGAGTATCAGAGATATTCAAATCCGTTTATAAAATTCGAGAAAAAATTTGAAAGAGAGAAATTACCAACCAATTACAATTTAGCCTAAATGATATCAAGGGTCATTACAAAATTTAAAAAAAAAATACATTTGAAATAAGTAATCTCGTCATAAAATGTCCATTTCCACACTAACATCTTGATGCTCCAAATCAAGTCAGAAACTTTCCACAAATCGTTTTAGAAAATAATAGCATTTCTCTTCAGCCAAATGCTCCAACAAACTGCATATTAAACTATTCCTTCGAAACCCTTCTTCACTTTATTTTTCTTAGAATCTGCAAAAAAAATTGAGAAAGCTTCTCCTCACAAGGCCTTCCAAACCCATCTCCATGCCAAGCCAGATAGAAACAGAAGCCCAAATTAGTCTAGCCACATTGCAGGAGAGGAAATATGGTCCAAGGATTCAATTACTTCCTTACAGAAAATGCAACAAGAGTCTGAAGGTGAAAGATAAATTTCTCGGATCAAAAATAGAGTTTTAGTAGGCAGTCTGTCGAGCAAACATCTCCAACCAAAAGTATTAACTCTGAACGGAACCGATACCTTCTAGATCTTTTCCAAGGCCTCAACTTTCTCGCCGTCGTCAATTTGTGAAACCTCCTGCCCATTCAGACTGCCATAGCAGGAACTCACTGTGAAGCCATTGACAGAGTTGGGATTCCACTGAATCGGATCCGCCTTCGCTATGTCAGGTGCCACTGAAGCTAACAAATTTCTCAAAGAATTCAGCAGAACTGCTTCCTCTGACCCTTCTTCCACCAGGATACCTAAATTTCCCCAATACCAACAATCTTCTTCCCAAACACCCAGATCCACAACAGAAGAGTTTTTCAAAGAAGACAGGCTAAATAAAATTGGAAATTCAAATTTTAGAATTTTATCACCGAACCAATTAGAATGCCAGAATAAATTATTCATGTTGTTGCCTATTACCGTTCTGCAATTTGATTCAAAAAACCCCTCTTTACATGGTCTCTCTAACCGCAACAGATCTTTCCACCAATAAGAAGTTGTTTCCCGATTATTCCTACACATACCAGTAAAGAGATGGACCTGCAGACAACCATATCTGCCCCTCAGAATATTCAACCATAAAGTCTCTCTCCCCCAAACTAAGGAATCTACTTTTCCAACCGGATAAGTGATTCCTAATACTACTGATCAACGGTTTCCAAAATGAAATTCTTCTTGGATTTGATCCAATCGGAATCCCAAGAAAAGAAAACTCATTTTCCTCAACCTTACAAGATAGAAAGTGAGCCGCAGCATTCAGAAAATTTGAGTTGAGGTTAATGCCGATAATTTTACTCTTATGATAATTAACCCCAAACCCGAAAATTAATTCAAAACCCCTTATCACCGTCTTAAGGGCCCAGACGTGCTTCCAAATTCCGTCGCCAACCATCAAAGTACCCTCTGCGAACTGCAGAATGTCAACCATACAAACTCCCTTAATGTTGAAGCCGGTAAAATCGCCCTCATCCACTGACCTTCTAACCAATCTCGTTAAAGCTTTAATAACTAAAACAAATAGAAACAGCGATAGCGGATCGCCATGTCTCAACCCCTTTTCCACTCTAAATTCCTTTGTTGGACTCCTATTAACGAGTACTGATATGTGACTATTAAAAATAGCAGCTTCCACCCACCAAATTCACAGATTACCGAACCCCATTCTCCTCAGAACGTATTTCAAAAAACTCCAGCTAACCTTGTTGTACGCCTTCTCGAAAACGACTTTGAAGAGAAAGCAGGATTTGGAATCCTTAGTAGCATAATCCCCCGGTTCATTAGCTATAAGAACTCCATCAAGAAGATGCCTACCAGGGATGAAAGCGTTCTGGCAGTCGGAAACCAAAACATGAAGCACTTTCTTCAATCTGGACGCAAGCAATTTGGATAACACTTTGTACATACTGCCAATCAAGCATATCGGATGATAATCATCAAGGTTCAGAGGATTTTCATTCTTCGGAATCAGAGATAGGAAAGAAGAAGTTACTGCCTTAGACAAAACAACTTTAATATGAAACTCCTTAAAAAAATGTATGAAATTCTCCTTTAAAAAACTCCAGCATTGTCTGATAAAGAAAAAATTGTATCCATCTGGCCCTAGACTCTTCGAACCGCCACAACCCCACACCACCTCCTTGACTTTTGAGTCCAAAAGGGAGCTTCTAAGAAATTAACCTCAACTTGAGAAGCCTATTAAAGTGTTGACTAAACTTTAATGTCATTAGTAATAAGTTTTCATGTTAAATAAAGTAGTAGGAAGATTAAGAATCAATGTAATTTGGAAGGACAAAAATTAGTAAGTTATGATAATTTTTATTAGTAGTAATTATCTTTTCTGAATTGTAAAAGTCATTGGGTTTATATAAGGACCAAGAGTGTATTTTATTTAAAAAAAGCAATATAGAAGGGTTTGCCTCTTTCTCAAAATAAACAAATCGAAGTCTGCTTCTTTATATCAATTTGGCATCAGAGCTCATGAAAAACATGACGAATCAAATGTCGTTGCCACGGCTAACGAAGTCAAATTATAAAAACTGGAGTATCCAAATGAAAAGCTCTTCTTGGATCTCTAGACGCGTGGGATGTGACCCATGAAGGGTTTGAAGAACCAACAGAAGTTGGGGGATATACGGAAGCTCAAACGAGGGCGTTGAAAGAGACACGGTCGAAGGACAAAACTACATTATATATGTTGTTCAGGGCTGTAGATGAATCAGGCTTCAAAAAAATTGTTGGTTCGACTACGTCTAAACAAGCGTGGGACACGTTAGAAAGAGTGTTCAAAGGAGCAGATCGAGTGAAGCAAGTTCGACTCCAAACTCTTCGTGGCGAATTGGAGAAGATACAGATGAAGGATACATAAACTGTATCTGACTACATCACACGTGTGCAAAAGGTGGTGAATCAACTCACCAGAAATGGAGAAATAGTAACTGATGCACGAGTTGTTGAAAAGATATTGAGAGCTTTAACAGACAAGTTTGAGAATATTGTGTGTGTAATAGAAGAGTCGAAGGACCTTTCGACGCTCTCAGTCGAAGAGTTCGCTGGTTCTCTCGAAGCACATGAACAACGAAAGATGAAAAAGAAAGAAGAAGCAGTCGAAAAAGCAAATCAAACCAAGGAATCGAACAAAGACGAAAAGGTATTCTTTTCTCAAAACTTTCGAGGAAGAGGACGTGGACGTGAAGGTCGTGACAGTGGTCGAAGTGGTAGAGGTAGCAACTTCAAAAGAGGACAATCGAGCCAACGAAATTGGCGTGGCAGAGGACATGGTCAAAGAGGTGGCCGTTCGAATCATTCCAACTTCGAATGCTACAAGTGTGGGAAGTATGGCCATTACGCGAAGGATTGCAACTCCTACAAATGTTACAACTGTGACAAAGTGGGACATCTTGCAAAAGACTGTTGAATCGAAAAGAAGATTGAAGAAACAACCAACCTAGCCTTGGAAGCTGAATCGAATGAAGGCTTTCTCCTGATGGCTCAAAACGAAATCAACACCAATAATGAAAATGTTTGGTATCTTGAATCAGGAGCAAGTAATCACATGTGTGGTTACAAACACCTGTTTAAAGATATGAAGAGAATTGAAGATGGTAATGTGTTTTTTGGAGATGCATCGAAAGTGAAGGTCGAAGGAAAGGGCACAATCAGTTACTTGCAGAAGGATGGCTTGATTGGATCAATCGAAGACGTTTACTATGTACCAGATCTCAAGACCAACATATTGAGTCTGAGACAACTTACAGAAAAAGGTGCTTCGATACTTATGAAAGATCAAACACTGCATTTGAAGGACAGAGTAGGACATCTGATTGCCCGTGTCGAAATGGAAAGAAATAGAATGTACAAACTGAACCTGAGGAATCTTCGAGAGAAATGTCTGCAAATCGAAGTACAAGACAAAGCGTCACTATGGCATATGCGCTTTGGTCATCTACATCATGCTGGTTTGAGAAGGTTGGGGAAAAGGAACATGGTGCATGGACTACCAGACATGGATTTCAAAGGAAATTTATGTGAAGAATGTGTGCTCAGCAAACAAACAAGAACCTCATTTCAAAAGAAGGTCGAGTATCAAGCTAAACATATTATCAAATTGATACATACTGGCATATGTGGGCAAATCACTCCAGAATCCTTCAGTGGAAAAAGGTACTTCATTTCTTTTATTGATGACTTCTCAAGAAAAACCTGGGTTTACTTCCTGAAAGAAAAATCTGAAGCATCAGAGGTGTTCAAAAAGTTCAAAGTAATGATGGAGAAGGCAACAGACAGACACATCAAAGCAATTTGATCTGACAGAGGAGGTGAGTATACTTCGATGGCCTTTGTGAAGTACTGTGAAGAACAGGGCATAAGGAGATTCCTAACTGCACCATATTCACCTCAGCAAAATGTTATGGCTGAAAGGAAGAATTGAACTATTCTTGACATGATTCGATCAATGCTCAAAAGCAAGAACATGTCGAAAGAATTATGGGCAGAAGCAGTACAATGTGCTGTTTATGTTTAGAATAGATGTCCATATTCAAAGTTAGAAGACAAAACACCACAAGAAGCATGGAGTGGATAGAAGCCAACAGTTTATCATCTCAAGGTATTTGGTAGTACAACTTATGCACATGTACTAGATCAACGAAGAACAAAGCTTGAAGACAAAAGTCATAAGTACATATTCATTGGATATGATGAGAAGATGAAAGGGTACAAGCTCTTCGATCCCATAAGCAAGAAATTAATCGTGAGTAGAGACGTTCAAATGAACGAAGCAAGCGAGTGGGACTGGAACAATTCGACAGAGGTTATTGAAGCAGTCGAAGAAACAACTATAGCTGTACCAACAAGTATTCCCACAGAACTTGAAGAAACTGAAGATGAAGATGAACCTCTACAACCCAGAATGAGAAGTTTGCAAGACTTATATGATTCAACAAGTGAGGTGCATCTTGTGTGCCTTTTGACAGATGCTGAAAACATTAGTGTCGAAGAAGCGCTACGAGACAAGAAGTGGAAAAGTGCCATGAACGAAGAGATTAGAGCAATCGAACGCAACAACACTTGGGAGCTAGTCGAATTTCCAAAAGGTAGTCAACCCATTGGTGTAAAATGGGTATTCAATAAAAAGATGAATGCTCAAGGAGAAATCGAAAGATTCAAAGCACGACTGGTTGCGAAGGGATACAAACAGAAAGTAGGAATTGACTATGACGAAGTGTTTGCGCCTGTTGCAAGAATGGAGACAATTCGATTACTCATTTCTCAAGCTTCTCAATTCAAATCACTAATATTTCAAATGGATGTCAAGACAAAATTTTTGAATGGTGTGCTCGAAGAAGAAATCTATGTCGAACAACCACTTGGATATATGAGAATTGGAGAGGAGAAGAAGGTGTTGAAACTGGAGAAAGCGTTGTATGGGCTGAAGCAAGCAACTAGGGCATGGAACACACGCATTGACACATATTTCAAAGAGAATGGGTTCAAGCAATGTCCTTATGAACCTGCCCTCTATATGAAGAAAAATGGAAGTAATGTATTACTTGTTGCTATCTATGTTGATGACCTTATCTTTCTAGGCAGTGATGTTCAGATGATCGAAGATTTTAAGAGCACCATGACAAGCGAATTCGAAATGACAGACTTAGGTCTGATGAGATTATTTCTTGGTCTAGAGGTTCAACAAGAAGTAGCTGGAATATTTATCTCACAAGAAAAATATGCAAAGGAAATCCTAGAAAAATATAAAATGAAGAATTGCAATCCAACTTCGACGCCAATGGAACCAGGTGCAAAACTGTCAAAGTTTGATGGAGGAGAATAGGTTGAAGGAAGAAAATATCGAAGCTTGGTAGGTATCCTTCGACATCTCACATGCACAAGGCTAGACATTTCACTAAATGTTGGCATTGTAAGTCGATTCATGGAGGAGCTAGTACACACACATTGGAAGGCACTGAAACGAATTCTAAGATACATCCAAGGAACAATATCACTTGGAATGTTTTATTCAAAAATAGAAGACTACAAGTTAGTTGGTTATTCTGACAGTGACTAGTGCGGAGAAATAGACGATCGAAAAAGCACTTCTGGATATGTGTTTTTCATGGGAAACACAACATTTACTTGGCTATCGAAGAAGCAACCTATATTAACACTTTCGACGTGTGAAGCTGAATATGTGGCAACATCCTGGTGCGTCTGTCATGCAGTATGGCTCAGAAGGTTGATAAGCAAGATGGAGCTAAAACAGGAAGGTCCAACAATAATACAAGTGGACAATAAATCAGCTATCAAATTGGCAAAGAATCTAGTGAATCATGAACGAAGAAAATACATTGATGTTCGATTTCACTTCATTCGTGAACATGTGAAGGAGGGAAGTGTCAAATTGAGGCATGTAGCAAGAAAAAACCAAGCAGTGCATATTTTCACAAAACCACTATCGAAAGAGATCTTCGACAGAGGCAAGAAGATGATAGGAATACTGGATGGAAGAAATATTTAAGTTTACAGAGGAGTTTTGTTGAGTAAACTTTAATGTCATTAGTAATAAGTTTTCATATTAAATAAGGTAGTGGGAAGATTAAGAACCAATGTAATTTGGAAGGACAAAAGTTAGTAAGTTATGATAGTTTTTATTAGTAGCAGTTATCTTTTCTGAATTGTAAAAGTCATTGGGTCTATATAAGGACCAAGAGTGTATTTTATTTAAAAAAAGAAATATAGAAAGGTTTGCCTCTTTCTCAAAATAAACAAATCGAAGTCTTCTTCTTTATATCATAAACGACATTCCTTTCGGAATCAGTCTGCACTCATTCTTCTCAACAAACTTCTTAGAAAAGTGATTCCACACCTCCTCTTTAACATCTCTAATTTCCTACACCAGACCTCTTT